TGATTGCTAGTTCTGTCTAACATAGTACCTATGTTCTTGTAACTATAAAACTTTCTTTAAATAAATTATTTATATTCATGTTTTAATTTTCTTTCTCAGCAACATACTTATTTTCTTATTTTGTCATTTGATTCTCATGAGTTTTCCAGACATACAATGATATTATCTGTAGTCATAAGTTTACCTCATTCTTTCCAGTTTTTAGATCTCTATTTTTTTTCTCTCATCCAATTGAATGAGTAATACCTTCAGGGAATGTTAGCTAGTAGTACTGACAGCAGGCAACCTTGTCATATTCCTGACTGACAGGTGGTCCTCATCAAATCCTAATTAAGATGCTATTCATGTGATGATGGCCACCCTAGCAACTGGAGGAGGTACATATCTGTTCCTCTTCACTGAGGGAGAGTGTATGCTAGTGATTTTCCAGCCTTTTGAGGTATTATTGACATATGTTATGTAAGTTAAAGGTGTACAAAGTGATTATTTGATACACAAATGTATTATGAAATGACTACCACAATAAGGTTAGTTAATACCTTTGTCCTCTTACATTATTACAATTTGTGTGTATGTGTGGTAACATTTAAGGTCTATTCTTTTAACAACTTTCAAGTATGTAATACAGTATTGTTCATTATAGTCACCATGTTGTATATTAGATCCCCAGAACTTATTAATCTTATATCTGGAAGCTTGTATCCTTTGACCAACACCTCCCTATCCCTCCAGTCCATGATAAGCACCATTATATTCTATTTCTATGAGCTCAATATTTTAAAAAATATATCCTTATTGATTTCAGAGAGGAAGGAAGAGGGAGAGAGAGAGAGAGAAACATCAATGATGAGAGAGAATCATTGATCAGCTGCCTCCTGCACACCCCCTACTGGGGATCGAGCCTGAAACTCAGGCATGTGCCCTTGACCAGAATCGAACCTGGGACCCTTCAGTCCGCAGGCCAATGCTCTATCCACTCATCCAAACTGGCTAGGGTGAGCTCAATATTTTTAGATTCCACATGTAAGAATGTAGAGTATTTGTCTTTCTCTGTCTGACTCATTTCACTTAGCATAATGCCCTCAAGGTCCATCCATGCTGTCATAATGTCAGAATTTACTTCTTTCTTACAGCTTAATTATATATATACTAGAGGCCCAGTGCACGAAATTCGTGCATGGTGTGTGTGTGTGTGTGTGTCCCTCAGCCCAGCCTGCACCCTCTCCAATCTGGGATCCCTCTCACAATCCAGGACTGCTGGCTCCCAACCGCTCACCTGCCTGCCTGCCTGATTGCCCCTAACTGCTTCTGCCTGCCAGCCTGATCACCCCCTAACCACTCCCCTGCCAGCCTGATTGACGCCTAACTGCTCCCCTGCCAGCCCGATTGTCCCTAACTGCCTTTCCCTGCTGGCCTGGTCGCCCCCAATTGCCCTCCCCTGCAGGCCTGGTCCCCCCATCTGCCCTCCCCTGCAGGCCTGGTGGCCCATAACTGTCCTCCCCTGCAGGCCTGATCCCTCCCAACTGCCCTCCCCTGCTGGCCTGATTGCCCACAACTGTCCTCCCCTGCCGGCCATCTTGTGTCCACATGGGGGCGGCCATCTTGTGTGTTGTAGTGATGGTCAATTTGCATATTACTCTTTTATTAGATAGGTTAATTTTATATATCTCACAACTTCTTTAATTATTGATTCATCAATGCACACTAAGATGTTTCCATACCTTGGCTATTGTGAATAATACTGCAATGAACATGAAAGTGCAGATAGTCTTCAAGATGGTGATTTAGTTTTCTTCAAATATACACCTAGAAGTGGAATTGCTGGATTATATGGTCAGGCTCCCATCAGCAAGGAAGAAATAAGAATGGATTTAGAGCAGACAACTAATGGTGTTTGCCTTAAATAGACAATTTGAAATAATGTTTTCTGAATTCCTTTAGCAAACGTGAGACAGAGATCTAATAATTTCTTAGGAATAAAAGAAATATAAAACCATAATAAATTATGAATACCACTTTCTTCCTACCCACTCTTGTCCATGGCACAATTAATTTCAGTAAAAATCAATTGTATAATTTCTATTAGTTGAAGAAGATCCATGAAATATGAAAACATTAGGCTTTCTATTTACACAGAAAATATTTTAGTATGTGATCTCTCTCTTCTCTCTTTATCTTTCCCCAGAACTCTAAAAATTCATTCATGATATCATTTCCAGAGACCACTGTTAAGAGAGAGCATGATGATCAGTTAACACACACACTCAAATAACTTGGCCGAATATAGAGATCCAGTTTATCCAAGAAGTACAAATTGCTTTATATTAATGTTACAGAGAAGACAGGTTTCTTTCTCTTAGCAACAATTTTCTCATAAGTAGATGACTATTGTTTTATGGTCCTGTAACAAAGTGCTCCAAACATTATTGACCATGTCAACTGCCACTTTGAACAGGCTTGAAATGCCTGGGGCTCTAAAAACTGATAAGAAACATCAGAACCTATTTCGGCTTTTCAAAAGCTTCTTGACACTCCAGGGAAAGATATCCTTATCATGGTTGCCTCTTCTAAGTAAAATCAAAAAGCAGACCAGCTACAGCGCCAGAGTGAGATACTCGTATTAATGTTCTTGCTCCCAACATGAGGATTTTTGTCTCTTAAAGTTGTTTGCTTGCATGGATGTAAGAATTTTCCAATTTTTCATGGTTTCCTCTCTGTTATGAAAAGGAATTAAGTGAACTTTTCCAAATTTAATCTTATATGTTTAACTTTTGAAAACTCAAATTTGAATCTTGTAAGCTTCAATATAAAGTAAGCAAAATAAGCCAGTCAGAGAGAAATAAGTATCACATGATCTCACTCATATGTGGAATCTAGTGAACAAAATAAACTGATGAACTAAATAGATCCAGTGACATGGAAGCATGGTATAGACTGATGAATCGCGGAAGGTGTGGGGGAAGAGATTAACCAAAGAACTTATATGTATATATGCATGATCCATGAACACAGACAATAGGACAATAGTGTGGTGAAGGCTAGGGGTGGGGGGCAGTGTGTGAGAGTGGGGTAGAGTGGGGTCAGTGGGGGAATAAAGGAGGGACATCTGTAATATTTTCAATAATGAAGATAAATTTCAAAAATAAATAAAGCCCATTACTTTAACATTCAACACATATTTTTGGTTTGTTTATGCATTGTGTACATACCCTGTAGTAAGAACTGAGATACAATAGTGAATAAAATAATGGTCTCTGTTTTTACTGAATTTATAGCAGAGTGGAGAAGACAGATATTATCAATCAAAGTGTATTCAGGTAGTAGGTCCCAGAACACAGATATTTAAAACTAAGCTATGATTTAGTGTTGCTTAAGGAAAGTAATGCCAGCTGCTGAACCAAAGACACCTCAATTTTTCAGCAGCTTAAACACTAATGAATTACTTCTTGCTCATGTCAAAGTCAAATGAAAGCCTCAGGCACCTTCATCTTAGACCTCTGTCCTCCTCAAAGTCCTCTGAATGCTTCCCAGTCAGGTGGTGGATGGAGAAAGAGAGCAAGGTTTACTTGTGGGGAAGTTTTATGGACCAGGCCTGAGAGTAACACATCACTTCTACCACATTTTATTTAGTTACATGGTCACACCTAACTGCAAAGGAGGCTAGAAAATATAATCCATGTGCCAAGAATGAAGAAGGAAAAGTGGACACTGGTGAGCACGAATAGTGTCTGACTAAACCTGAAGGGCAAGTAGCAACAAGCCATGAAAGTTGAAGGGGGAGAGAGGTAGGAGAGAGGTCATGAAGAATGTTACAGGCAGAGAGAACATAAAGTGAAAGACTGAGAGGTGAGAAAACATGGTATTTGGGAGATGAAAGTTGTCCAGTGGGGCTGGAATATGAAATTCAAATTGGTGAAGTGAATGATAAGGCGGTCATAAAAATCTTTGTAGACCATTTCAAGGAATATGGGTTTTATCCCAAGAGAACTAGGGCTCCATTTAAGGTTTTAACTAGGGAAGTGAAATGATCAGGTTAAATATTTAGAAAAACCATAACTCCCATAGTATGGAAAAGACATTGGACGAAACGAGGGGAAATAAGACTGAAGGCCAATTAAGAAGCTGTTTAAATAATCCAGGTGATGGGCCCTAAACTAGGATAATGGCACTAATAGGTCTAGAAAGAAAATGTGGATTGATTTGGGAGATATTTAGGAGGCAGAATTGAAACAGTATGATTTCTGATTGGTGTTCCATGCAGCTTCAACCTGCAATGCTTCAGATATGTTTCCGTATTTTAGCTAGGTATACTTACTGGTTCATCTAGGTAAGCCAGAACAAACACTCCCAGTTCATATGACAACACAATTGTCAGACTTTGGAATGAGGTTAAGGTGTCCCCAACTCAGAGAGCAAGATATAATACCAATATATCCATTTAGAATTATAAATGCAGTTGTAGATTTATTTCTCATCCAAGGCTACTTGCCTGAGATTATTATATAAATCAATAACTGAGATGAATGAAGAAATCCTCAATTGAATCTGGGTATCTGATACCCTATTTTTCCCATTTCATAGCCTTCTAAAAATTACAGGATTGCCCAAATTGAAACAATTTTCTGCTTTATCGTGAATCAGGTTATGTCTTGGTTTGCGGTGAATGTTTAATTTTGACACTGGCTGAAGAAGGTGGGGACATCTTAGATGAGAAGCAAGAGGTGCCAATACCTTGCTGTGTAAAGGCCTTTCCAGCATATTTCAGGACATATTTGTTTGGCAGAATCCAGGACTGTGTTCTGGGACCTACTACCTGAATACATTCTGTTTTTGCAATATCAAATCACAAAGATGCTGCTTGCCAAGACTCACACTGTTGTCCACCTGGCCAGGCTTGACCACTTTAAGAATTGAAAATAGCAGGCAGAAGGTTCTGGCTGACATTGTGAAAATTAGGCCAAGCCCACAAGCTCATGTTTAGAAGCAATTGCTGGCTGGATTCTGAAGTCTCACCGTGTGTCCCCTACTCTGCTCCTGATCAGTGATCCTGAGTGATGTCATGCTGTTCTGGCTCTATTTCTTCATCCCTCTCTCCATTAAACATATCCAGTTCCTTAATTCCTCATCAATCCTATTTACTTCCTTGTACATCACAGGTGTTCTGGTGCCACATTCGACCTTCAACCAGATGTCTGAACCTGGCATCTGGCTCCTCCCCAGGAAATAGGTATGTATTTCTTCTAGTACTCTACTTTCATTCTGGAGCTTCCTGCTCTTTGGAGAGTCTGTGCCTTATAACTGCTGTTGTAGCCTCACTCAGACATCACAGTGCTGCTCTGCAACTAGAATTATCCATTGGATCCCATCTGTCCCTTCAAGGTGATACCACTTGCTTTCTAGTCCTGTAGAATATGGTCATAGTGCTGGCTTCTTTTTTTTCTTTTCATTTGGAATTGACTAATGACAATTACTCCTGTTTCTGAATAAAAGTCTGTTACTCCACATCCTTGCCAGCACTTGTGGTTTGTTGATTTGTTGATGATAGCCATTCTGACAGGTGTGAGATGGTACCTCATTGTTGTTTTGATTTGCATCCCTCCAATGATTAGTGACTTTGAGCATGTTTTCAAATATCTCTCTGCCTTCTGTACGACTTCTTTCGAAAAGTGTCTATTTAGGTCCATTGCCCATTTTTTGATTAGATTGTTTATCTTTATTCATTTATTTATTTATTTTTAACAAAATATATTTTATTGATTTTTTTACAGAGAGGAAGGGAGAGGGATAGAGAGTTAGAAACATCGATGAGAGAGAAACATCGATCAGCTGCCTCCTGCACAC